GGTTTAGCTGTGATCTTATACACGGGTTTTGGACGATTGGTAGCGTCGTCCATACAGTAAAATATCAGTATATTACTATATTAGGCTCCGCCTAGATGGGGCTCCGCCCCAGACCCGGGGCCCTACGAGCCTTATGCGCCTTCGGCCCGTCATAATAAGTAGGCCACTGATTCCGAAAGTTTCTTCTAATAGGTTTTTATAGACTCAGAAGAGTATGATTAATTTTTCTTTCAGCTATTTTAATTGAAAATTAATACTTGATCCAACTATACCACGTCACAACTGTGCCGCGACTTCCCTGTGCTGGGTTTTTTTTTTCATGATAAAGTATATTGCATTACCTTTAATTTATGATATATATAAAAGTGTTAATATTTATTAATATCCTGATTAAGATAAAGTATGCCCAATGAAAGAGGGATATATATATTATTTCTCATAAAAAAATTGTGTTGATCCATAAACTTTACAATAAGTTAAAGCAATACAAAGTTAATAATGTAAAATACAAAATCGAGAATTTTCACACAGAAATAGCATTCGGAAGCCATATTCACCATAAAGATAAAATAAAGTCGGATTTTTTTTTTTTTTCATGATAAAGTATATTGCATTACCTTTAATTTATGATATATATATAAAAGTGTCAGTATTTCCGAAACACTTTAAAAAGTTGAATTTTTGTAAAAAAGTTACTATTTTGAAACCTTTCCTGTAGGCTTGTAATAGGTCAAATAATCTTTTTTTTTTTTTTGTTTTCCTCCGATCGGCTTAGTTGTGGACCGCTTTAGAACTACCGTTAGGTATAACTTCAGGGCAGAGGATCAAATAATCATAAAAATATATAAAATGATAGGTGAATACTTAAGGTATCTATAAAAAAAAAAATTATAATGAGTCGGTCATTTTTAAAAACAGTTATGGCAATTTTAAGTAAAAAAATTGAAAAAATATCGAAAATTAGAGATTTTTAAATTTGTAATTTTTTGGGGGATTTCCTCCGTTTAGGGGGAAAAAGGGTTTTTTTTTAAATTTTGAGGGTCATTTCTTCGATTAGATACGATTTGAGATCTTTTGACATATTTTTCATCAAAATCGGTTCAGCGAGAGCTGAGATTAAGCGTATACAGACACAAAAAAAAAAAACGCATCATAGTAAAATTAATACCTTTTCAGCTTCACATCGAAGCCAAAAATTGAAAAAATTGATTAAAATTTTAAATTTGCAATTTTTTTGAAGATTTCTTTCATTTACAAGGAACGAGAGAAATTTTTTCAATTTTTGAGGATAATATCTTCGACTTGATACGATTCGTCATCTTTTGACGTATCGTTGAAAGAAATCAGTTCAGTGAGATCTAAGAAAAAGTGGTAACAGACACAAAAAAAAAAAAATAGAAAAATACACATCATAGTAAAATTAATACCTTCTCAGCTTCGCATCAAAGCTAAAAAAGACTACAAAAATCTGCCGATTACAAGGATAGCTATCTTAGAATAGCTCAAAGTAGGCCGAGTTGGGTATAAATTGTTTTAATCAATTATACATTCTTTTTTTTGTTGCAGCATGTAAAAAATTATTAGCTAAAATAATAAATATTTTATCTTCTTTCGAGATGGTCCTGACTATTGATTCTGTGGTATTTTAAGTGTATGATTAATAGTTAATTTTATTTAATACACTGTTAAAATATAGATGGAATTTTTTTTAGATTTCATTATTTTTAAATAGTTTGTTCATAATATAAATTTTATTCTAATAAAAATTTATTTTTAATAAAAATAAAGCAAACAGTGACGGAATATCTTTGAATATAATATTATACTTCTCAATATATTCATAAATTACATATGCTTACACAAAGCTCATCATTTAATACCCAGAAATACGCATAAATGTAAATTCTTCAAAAATGTATTTATTAACACATACACGTTTACATATTTGTTTATATAAACACTCTCGTATGTCACTTACCTTAGTTATTTATAAATGACCTATTAACTCTATTTGTAAATTAAATATTCTTTATCAAATACGTAAAAACCATTAAGTTATCACCTTATAATTAGTTTTTGAGGAGTAGAATATAGGACATACATTTTTATTTATATCTATTAAATTATTAAAATAAAATAATTTTTTTTTTATAACCGCCCCGTGATTTTGCCTCTGTGAAAATTTAATATTGATATAAATATTGGTAACTGTGTATTAATCTTGGACAGCATAGTTGTCGTAGATGAATCCCAATTTAAACGATAAACTCATAGACTCCTACAAAACATATGAGAAATGGCTATGACACGCCATAGTAACTATGGCGTGTCGAGCGCATGAAAGAAAAAAATGAAGAAGGTGAAAATTGAACGGATTGAATTGATTTTTTTATCATATCCCAAGATTGACATTGGGCGGGTCTGGTGAAAATTACAAACCTAAAGTCGTAAAACGCTGTCGTAAGTGAGCGCTTTCTAAAACTGCTTACGCTATAAAATAATTCATTTTTTCACAAACACAACCCCGCATATTTGATAATACTTAAAATATACTTATGACACAATCAAATATATACAGCATTTTTATTAGGCGTAATATTACCTAATTTTTCTTTGAATAATGACTTTTTTTATCAAAATACATTTATTAAAAGTAGTACTATAAAGTATGAATAAGTACCCCCCCAAAACGGCCCTGGCTGATTCCTCTCCATAGGTTGTCGGGCGGTGTAAACGGGCGGGGAGATATGGTGAGAATAATAAATAAAATATAAAAATGATAAATTTAAATAAAATATACAAAATTTATTAATTTTTGGAACTCCTAAAATAACCCAAAAAATTAAATATGTCAAATTCGGTTCTTGAAATTACATTTAAAAAAAAATTACAATCTATACCTAGAACCTAAGTAAATACATCTAAATGCGTTTATAAGGGGTTGAATATTAAATATAAATTAGACAAGTATTNAGGGGTTGAATATTAAATATAAATTAGACAAGTATTTTCAGTGGTGGCTCGTGGGTGCTGGTTGTGGGGGTATTACTTTAAATAATACTGCTAGTTGTAGGTATAAAAAATTGTCAAATTAAATATAATAATAAAAAAAACACAATACACATATTATTATTTTAAAGGTCGCAGTAGAAAATAGAAATGAAAATAATAATAATTATAGCGATTATACTATTATAACAACCGATAAGCATACACGTAGTTAATTCTAAAAATAAATTACCCAATGTAGTAATATACTGATATTTTACTGTGTGGACGACGCAACCGGTTGTCCAAAACCCGTATATATAATCACAGCTAAACCGTATCCGCACGCGCACAATTGGTCGTTTCGTTTATAATATACGTTTCAAAATATTGTTCGGACGACGTTGTCGGTCGTCCAAACACTGCTCGTGTGTGCATGCATAACCGCATATATACAGAGTGATTGACTAACTATGCCTCACGAATTTTCTTTAAAAATATTAGTATTATCGTATATGTAATTATTTTATTTGTTATAAATCTTTGTTGAGCTACTTGACAAGAAAAATGAAGATTCAATCTTCATCCCTCAACCCTTAAATCATTATCAACTTTAGTTTTTCAAATAGCAACCCAGTTTTTTTTTTTTTATTAATCTTGTTATTAATAAAAAAAAAAAATCAATATTAATAAATTCTAAGCGAGATATTACTATTTAAAGTTTAGGGGATTTAACAAATAAAACAGTAGTCGGGTAAATGTAGTATCGTTATTATTTAGTGTACCGATAAGAACTATTGGTGTATTGTATCGCGACGTGAAAACTTAGGTACGCTTGCTTTGTTTTCGTTATCTATGATTTGGCGTCTTACATTATATGTTATAAAATAGTACGTCACAATTGATTATGGTTCATATAAGACTGCGAAAAATTGATTGTTTACATTTAAGATAACATTAACCTAACAAATGTGGTAGTATTTGATTCTTTGATTATGAATGTTTTATTGTTATGTTGATTTTTCACCCCGTTGCCCCCATTCCAACATTAGAGTTGATGTTAAATAGTCTGTTAAAAAAATAATTTTACTTATTAAAGAATTAAATATTTTATTTATTAATCTTTATTTATCCTATTAAAATTTTTATAATTAATCAACTTAAAATTTTTTGATTGTTATGCAAATTCTTCAGATATTTTTTAATGTAGTTGTTTTGTTTGTCTTTGTTTAGAACTTTTATGTCTTTTTACCTAATAATTTTAAAAGTTTATCAGTGAATAACACTTTAAAAAAATTTATTGTTTTTGGGTAAATTTAAGCGACGTGTGCTTAGAATTTTTTCCATAAGGAGAGTCATAAACCAGTTTTTATAATGTATTTTAATCCCTAGCTTCCTATAGGTTATATTGTTTATTTCTCTATTATGGCCACTTAGTATTAATTAGAATCATTTGCTTACACCCCATATAAGTACTAAATCTGGGTGCAAATAAATATTCACTGGATTCATTTTCTGATCATTTCAGAAATAAAACTTTTGAAAAATTTACATTTTTCTATTAATAATATTTTATTTTCGAATAAAGAGATTCAAATAAATAATTTAATAAATAATAGTATTTTACTATTTAATTGTCATAAATCTTATAGGACTTGATTATTCTTAGATTTTTTTAGTGTATATTTTTGGAAAACTAATATTGAGGAATATATAGACCCATTATTACTGATAAATAGTGTAAGAAAAATCTTAAACACCCAGTCGTGTCTGCTATATATTATTCATTCAAACAACATATTTTCAAACTTATAAAAAATGAATTTAATATGTCAACTATTTATATACTGTTCATTTATTGTGATTGATATTAATGCTGCTTTAAATGATGAAACCTTAAACCTTGCTCAGAAAATGTCTAGAACAAGTTAGTACTATCTAATTTTTAATAAATATTAAAAAACTGTAACACATTCTTATTAATGCAATTTTAAACAAAACAGAATGTGCAGTGTATTTGTATTCCAATATTATATAATTATACTTAATAAATACGTTTTATTTTAATAATATATGAGATATAATATATCATATTATTCAAAATGTCACTTTTGGACTTCTTTATACAACCAAATATTTTATATTTAGCATAAACTATTAAATATTTAAGATTTATCGAATATTTTTATTATTGAATAATTATCGAATTGTCGGTCATAGCTTTTACATAAAACAATGCTATAAAATAAGTTAACATTAAAATATTTTAATATAAAATATATATTGTTGTAACTACGGGAAAACNTTTAATATAAAATATATATTGTTGTAACTACGGGAAAACACGTCACTAAATTTTCAGACTTTTTTCAGGAGGATAAAAAAATATCCCATTGTTATATTCTTATCAAAACATAATATTTCAGTTAAACAGTCCAAAAACTCATTTTTATAAGAAGAGCTAGTAATTAAAATGATTTAAGTTTTTCAAACATTTTGATCATATCAAATAACTTAAAGACTTATATCGATTTTTTTCGAGAATTAGTTAAGTAAATAATTTTAGAAACCAAATATATTATGAAATAGCTTTTAAGATCTCAACCAGACTAAAAATTTGACCATATAAATTAATAACCCAAAAATAACTGATATATATTAATTTAATAATATCTAGTTGAAGATATAACCCTCATAAATAAAAAAAAAATTCTAATTTATCAATTAAACAGTTAGTTATTACATGTTCTCCGTACAGACAATTAAAATCATTCATTTCTAATGTTTTCAAAGTATTTATTGACGAATCAAGTTTGATATGATAGGTTTTAACTATAAAATTAAATCATTTTACTTTGTAATTTAATAATATTTTTACTCTATTTGTGTGTGCTACTACTAGACTATAATATTACAAATTTTTTAGTAACATGTTGCTATATAAATCATTTCTAAAAAAAAAAGATTCTGAGTTTCTCCTGAATTAATAATGGATTTTTACAATTATAAAAACAATTTATTATACGCTTAATTGAGTAAATTTTTTTAACAAATTTGTTT